AAATATGTTGATTTCTTGGTTTTCAAAGAAACAAATTTGTGTAGCATTATCTACCACTGAAGCAGAATACATTTCAGCTGGTAGTTGTTGTGCACAAGTTTTATGGATGAAACAACAACTTTTCGACTATGGAATTGAAGTAGGTACCATTCCTATCAAGTGTGACAATACTAGTGCTATTTGTCTCACTAAAAATCTCATCCAACACTCTAGAACTAAGCATATTGAAATTAGACATCACTTCATTAGAGATCATGTCGCTAAGGAAGATGTAGTTCTAGAATTTGTTGATACTTTGCATCAAATAGCATATATCTTTACAAAGTCTTTAGACAAGGAACTTTTTTGGACACTTAGGAGAGAATTAGGTTTAACTGACCTGTCTTCACTTAGTGTTTAACATAATTTTAGCACTTTTAAGAATAAATAAAAAAAATAAAAAAAATGCTTATAATGGTAATTTTTGATTGCATTCATTGCTATTAGTTAGGGGGAGTTTATGTTGCTTAGTGAAAATTAATTTTATGTTCAAATGAAATTTAAGGATTAATTTGATTGATTGAACATGATTAATTTTCATTATATGAGTTGCCAATACCACTAGAGCTAATTAATTTAGCATTTTGAGTGTTTAAAACAGATTTTTGACATTTTTGTGCTTCATGTATTGATACACCTAACAGTGCACCGATGCATCCTTGAATGTGCATCGATACACCATGAAGGTGCACCGATGCACGCCTTGAATGTGCATCGATGCACAAGGCCGTGCATTGATGCATCCATCGGGTTTTTGGATAAAAACCCTATTTCTTCCTCATTTTCTTAAAACTCTCTTAAAACTCTCTCTTGGCCGCCGCTCCTCTTTCTCTCTTCACTATCAAAATTACTCCAAATCCTTGGTTTTTTATCGGAATCTTCAAGTTTTTCAATTCCTTATGCTACTTTATCATCAATTCTTGAAAACATCTCATTCTCATCAATCCGAAATTTTCAAGGTAATATTTCAAAAAACCTCTATTTCATTGATTTTTGATCTTAGTACTAGTTTAGGTTAGTTCTAGGATGAACATTATATCGGGGTATTGATTGTTTGATGATTATAAACTAGATTTTACAACCAATTTCATCAAAAACTCACAAATTTTCAATAAATTTTTGAATTTTCGAAATTAAAAAAAAATCGAAAATCTGATTTTAGTTTTTAAATTTGATGTTTTTGATTTAATTATGTTGTCTTCATGAAAAACTATACATATTATAATTTTCAAACGTTGTTTTCTAAATAGTTTTTCAAAAACTATGCCCATCATAATTTGGTTTAGAGAACCTTGAATTATTGCGGACTCAATTGAGTTTTGGGATTGATTAAATTGCATACATGTGTTTCAATTTACATGTTATATTTCTTATTCCGATTCCTAAACCATGTCTAATTCCAAACGCCCTAGAACTTCGTCGAGTCGTTCTCGTTCAAACCAACCTCCTAATCCTATTCCTCAACCTCCTAATAGCCTATTAGGATCTTGCTTTAACATGCCTGAGCGTCGTAGAGACGAATTGTACTCTAGGTACAAAAATTCTTTCCAAACTTATAGAATCCGTGAAAAGAGTATTCCTTCGCTTCAAGCCATGATTGATATTGACTTCGAATACCTTCCAATTCTTAAAGCTTGGAAGTTTGATAAATTGTTTCAGCTTAAACCTATCGTCTATCAACAATTGGTCCGCATTTTCTATTCCAATGCGGTGTGTATTCAAAATGAAACTCAATGTGGAACTATAACCATTAGATCCTATCTTTTAGGCCAATATAATAATATTGACCCCTAAAACTATATCTTTCCAATTTGGGTTAGATGATAGTGGTATATATAATGAGAGTGAAAATGTGGAATATCCCTATGTTCCAAACTCCAGTGTTAGTACCCTACGATCTCATCATAATAGTTTTCTCCATTTGATGATCTCTCGGTGGTTTAGACCATGTACTCCACACTTCGTGCTAGGGATTTATGGTGGATGTATTGTATTAAAAATAAAATCAAAATAAATCTGCCCCACATTATATTCAGTCAACTAGTGGACATCATAAACATTGTTCCTTCAAAACATGTTGAAACATTGATTTATGGATGTCTTTTTAGTAACCTTTTTATCAAACTTGGTCTAGACGTCTCTCTCGAAAATCCTATCCCACTCCAAAATCAAATCAATCTTACTTCCTTGAAGAAAGTAGATTGGAAGCAAGACGAGGAAACCGGTCTTTGGGTATTTCGACCCGGTAAGAAAACCCCGGGAGCTAGCTCTTCACGAGCTGCTCCTAGCTCTTCTCATGCTCCCCTTCTCCTACGGCACCGGTTGCTGACGATGATCCTGAGTTTCAACAACTTATGCAAGATATCGACGATCACGTTCCAGACGATGAGCCTGCACCAGAACCGACACGACAAGAAGATCAAATGCCACCATATTTTCGATCCTTCTTGGAGTTATTTGATATGAGGTTTGCCTCCATGGAGTCTCAGATTACTGAGTTTCAGCGGGAGATGCGTGAACATATGGACGCACTCACTCTTGAAGTTCGAGCTCATTATCCTCGTCCTCCCGACCCTCCTATGGATTAGACCTTTTCCATGCTTTCTTGTTTTTTTTATAAAAAAATTGGATTGATTTTGATGTTTCTGGATTGTTTGTTTTGGATTGTTTAATGTTTGAATTTGTTATGGTTTGGATGATTGAATTTTGAACTTAATATATATATATATATATATATATATATTTGGTTTGGTTGAATTTTCTTATTTTTTGCATCATTAGATATACATGACCAATTATGCCATTTCACATTTAATTATGAATATTGTTTATGGAACTAATGGCTAATCTCTCTTTTGATTGTGATCTTAGCAGCTTAAGATATATATATATTTAATCAATTGACTATGTTTTTCAAAAACATTGTTTACAAACGTTTTAAATATCTTTTTGATTTAACAAAAAAGGGGAGAAATGTTAAGTGTTAAAAATGTTTTTAAAAGGGAGAAGTGTTATAGTAAGGGGGAGTAATTTTTTTCTTTCAAAATTGATTTCAAATTTTTAGAAAATCTTAAAATAACACAAATGTTTTGTTATATCAAAAAGGGGGAGATTATTGAAAACATTTTTGTGTTTCGATATAACAAATTAAGTTTAAATGAATTTTAAGATTTTACAAATGATTTGCTAAGTATATTCAATTTAATTAATCGAATATCAAATTATTACTCAAAGTCTTTCAAGTTCAAATTCAAACCTTACTAAATGTGTAAAATTGTGTTTTATACTTAATATATTTTTGAAACAATTTTCACAAAGTATTTTGAACCAAAATCAAGCCTAAAATCAATTTTTCAGAGTGATGTACCCACTACAGCAAAATAGAGTTTTAGCGGTGCTTTTTTAGTCTTATAGCGGCGTTTTTAAGCACCGCTAAAAGTATTTGCGGCGATAGGAAAAACGCCGCAAGAAGCGCCAGCAATACCAACGCCGCTAAAGTTAGCGGCGTTTGAGAACAAAAAACGCCGCAATAGGTCAATATATATTACGGCGTTTTTTGAACAAACATCGCAAAAGGTCGATATCTATAGCGGCGTTTTTGGAACAAACGCCGCAAAAAGTTATGATATATAGTGGCATTTTTAAAAAAAACGCCGCAAAAGGTCAGATCTATAGCGGCGTTTTTGGATACAAACGCCGCAAAAGAGCAGACCTATACTGGCATTTTTAGAACAAACGCCGCAAAAGGTCAGACCTATAGCGGCGTTTTTGGACACGAACGCTGCAAAAGGTCAGACCTATAACGGCGTTTTTAAACACAAACGCCACAAAAAGTCAGACCTATAGCGGCGTTTTTGGATACAAACACCGCTAATTACCTTTCTTTAGCTAATATTAATTGATTTTGCATATTTCATTTCTGCTATACATCACCTAAATTTATATCTAGCTTTATCTAATTAACAACAACCATATATTTTAATTAAGACAAAAAACATAAAGAAAAATACTTAACAACAAAATAAATTAAAGTTTTTTTATGGAGAGAGAACCTTAAAAGACATTAAAGTACAAATGAGTTACAACTGAACCTCAAAGTGTAGATATACATGGATTTGTTGTTCGATACATCCTCAATTTCACTAGCGTCATCATCATAACCTCCAGATATGCCTTTTAAAGCTACTTTGTTTCCCACTTCATTGGAATTTGTCATATTCATCGTCTTGACATCTTATTTGAAAGTATCATTTGACAGTGAATGATCTCTCCTCAATAGATTAAAAACAAATGGGAAACGTTGTGCAGTCTATTGAAGAAGCCGCTTTTTGTTGAAGTTTGTTCTTTAAGATTACTGCAATTACAATAATTTAGATGAGACTAAGAAGAGAAGGAAACAACCAGCAGAACTTGCATTCATAACCTACATGTGAGTGATTGAGAACTGAAAAAAGATGTTGCAACAAACAACAAAAACAGGAAGTCAGGAACCATGAAAGCTTTATCTTCTTATAGTGAATGTTGAACCCAGAAAAAGAACGGCACAGGTCAGCTATATCTAAAATGACAAACTATTATTACTGAATACACTACATATGAGTACAGTTTTTACATATTCTACAGCAACATTATCATGCAGTGCTGTCTGTAAAAGTAAAACTGGAGACGATGGCGTACAAAGCATTTCTAGTAAAAAGAAAAGTTTGGCTCCCAAATGTTCTAAATAATCTAATGGGGAAATTACTTTAACATAACATTGAAAATAAGAATAAAAGTTACCTGCCCTGTGCTTTTCATATTTTGTGACAATGCCTAGATCTTTTTGATATTCAGCTGTAGTAATGAGGATCTTCAATTATGCGCTATTGTTTCTCAGATCCTAATTTGGAGATTGTAAAATTTTGTATTCTTGATCCCTCATTGTCAGTCAGGAGGATGCCACAAGCTTCACCAACATAGCCTTATTCATATATCTTCTTTTTCTTCAGAAGGGTAGGAAATATGGAGACCATCCCGATAAGGAAAAGCACGGACAAGGTCTTGAAATCATAGAGGTCCTTAACAGACCTGAGATCCCCAAGTGTGAGGCCAGCCTGAAAGAAGATACAATGGTGGTCTTAAATCAGATAAGTTATCTGAATATATATGGCTGCCATCTTTTTCTATCATTTGACTTGCATACAACACCAACGGATTGAAATGAATTAAGTCTCAACACAAAATTAAAGACTCGATTCCATTACAACGAATGATCCATTAGATGTTGACAAATAAATATACCCAAATGACATCTATTGAACCCAACCTGACATTAGGAAAATGTATCCAGGGAAATTCAGTAATATATGAAGTAAGAACCCTATTACAATAAGAACCGATTCTTTATCAACAAGCACCTACTTCAAACTTTTTTTATAGAAATCTCCCTAGTTAGTCTCTATGGTTGAACAACTCAATATTTGGCTAAAAGTAGAAAACTGATGTAGATGGATATGTATAGTGATCTTGTAGAAACTTTTCTTATTCCAAATTGTTAAGAATACACATCAATTAATATAAAACCTTCACAAACAAGGCATAGCAATAAATTGGATATGACACAAGCATATGTTTTCTTTCAACGGACATTTTCAGGCGACAATACCAACAGTAACAGAAAAGAAGATAGGGTAAAACAAGTGAAAGATGCTAAATTAAGAGGGAAAACACGAACGAACGAATAGTTCTAAAGACAGTCACAAGAGGAAAAATGAAGGTACCTCAGCTTGAAAAAACCTTAATTTATCAGGCCACAAACAACTGACCAAAGGTATGCCAATCAGCTTTGATAGAAAAAAGCAGGAGCATGCTCCAGCTGTGGCATTGAAGACAACCAAGAAAAGGACTTTAACACCAAAGAGAGCTCCAGCTAGCAAAGACATGAAAATCGTTCCAGGAATCATAAAAGTTTGCATGAAGATATAAGTTGAGCAGTAACCCAAAATGAATTGTGTTGGGTAATCCTTTGCATATGTTGCAATATTATCTCTGAAAAAGAATAGAAAAACAAGGACTTCAATAAAATAAGTTGCAGCTAAAACATCACAGAAAGAAGTTTCACGACAAAGTAGAAGCACCCGGCAACAAGAAAGTAGTAAATAAACAAGTAAACTAAAGTACATGATAGAAATAAATTAGGAATGGTAATTTCAGCAACAATGCATTGTTAGTACATAGCTGGATATACTCGGTATGCAATATTCTCCCTACAATTTGCATTATTCGATGCCCTCACATGAACCACACATGAACTAAACTCATCATTAGTCATAGATTGCTTTTAAACTCCCTAGTGCTACACATTAAGGACAAAACAAATCAAAGGATTCATTCCGGGAAGAATATAAATGATAAGAGTTCTCATCCACAACTATCTTCACCTACAATATAACACAAAAAAGGAGGCATATTTCAATTTTAAAAAAAATTAACTACAATTATAAGCTAAAATATTCCCAATAGTTCTCTCTAGCTCAAAATCCTATATAAACCATAAGAAATCTAAAATGGGCATTTCCAAAATCAACAGCAATGATCAAATCCAAGGATTTGGCACACAAATTAAGCTTATTTCTTCATTAATTGAGAGAGAGAACACCAGTTTTTATTATAAAGGGGGGGGGGAATCCTACTTGAGCAATCGCAGATCAGAGATGGAACGAGGGATCTTGAGTTTCCCATACTCGGTAGCGGGCATGGTCAGGTAGATGCAGAACAAGCCGGTAGAAAAAATCAAGAAAACCCCGAAAAAGGCAGCCAATTCCCACCTTGAAACGGGGAACCTCTCCGATTTTAACCTTTTCCCCGACGGAGAATCGTCATCTTCCTTGCTGCTGATGCTCAACAACACCGCCGCAACACTCTCCTCGTCCCTCAACACATTCCTCGGAGCCACCATTTTAGAACATCGACAAGATGAAAGTGCACAGAAACAAAGCTGTTGGGGGAACTTAGGATCCCAAAAGAATATAATGACGTTAATAAATGGAAACAAAAGGTTGCTGAAGAATTAAAGAATCGTTTATGTGGGAATAGAATGGGGTGTTATGATGAACCCTATTTTGAAGAGAAATTTTTTTGAATTGGATGTGCGAGACCCCAGAGACCTTTAAAGCAATGCTTTCTTTTCGATGCCCAGACTGAATCTATGGAATTAGGGTTTTATTTCGATATGTTAAAGTAGTGTTCAGTAGCAACGTTTTTTTACGTAAACGCCACTAGGTAATATGACAATTGCGGCGTTTGGTATTAAAACGCCACTAAAGTACGAGTCTATAGCGGCGTTTGGTTTAAAACGCCACAAAAGTACGTGTCTATAGCGGCGTTTGTGTAAAAACGCCACTAAAGTACGAATCTATAGCGGCGTTTGGTATTAAAACGCCACAAATGTACGTGTCTATAGCGGCGTTTGTATAAAAATGCCACTAAAGTACGAGTCTATAGCGGCGTTTGGTATTAAAATGCCACAAAAGTATGTGTCTATAGCGGCGTTTGAATAAAAACGCCACTAAAATACTAGTTTATAGCGGCGTTTGTATAAAAACGCCACTACATTACGATTCTTTAGCGGCATTTTTATACAAACGTCACTAAAGTATAGTATTTTGCGGCGTTTGTTCAAAAACGCCGCTATATGTAAACAATTACCGGCGTTTTCAGTAAAAACGCTGCTACATCCGCCGTTAAAAACCATTTTTGCTGTAGTGACTGATGCACCAATCCATGCATCGATGCACCATGAATTAAATTGAACATCGAATGCATTTCATGCATCGATGCTCATACAATGCATCGATGCACTGAGGATTTTATAAAAACATCGAATGCATTTGATGCATCGATGCACCAGCCATGCATTGATGCACTCTGGCTATTTTCTCAATCAATTCCAACCGTTTGAGTTGTTATGGGAGTGAATAGAGCCATTGGGGGGTAGTTTCCCGCATTAAATGCTGCTCAGAGGCTTGTAGTATCGGTACTCCGTCTATCAGTATCGATACTCCCTGTATTAAATACAAAACTTTTGACCGTTGGGAAACTTCGGTATCGATACTGTCACAAGGGTATCGGTACTACTATATTTAGTAGTATCGATACTATACATAGTATCAGTACCATTTTAGTATATTGGAATTTCACATACTCAAAGCCAAAAGGAGTATTATCGGTACCATAACTAAGAGTATCGATACTACTACACTAAGTAGTATCGATACCGTATATGGTATCGATACCATTTTAGCATTCTGTTTTGATAGTACCTGCACTGCCTCGACAGTATCAGCACTGCATAAGCAGTATCGACACTACCTAAGCAATATCGGTACTTCTTGAACAATATCAGTACTGTTATAGTAGTATCGGTACTACTATGCTTAAAAATCATTTTTGACTTGATTAAAGTTCAAAACCCTTAGTAAAAATTATTTCAAAAATATTTCCAGTAGAGGACTCAAATTTTCAGTAGAGTGTGGAGTAAAAATTGACGTTTTAACTTTAAAGAATAATTTTATTTATTTGAATGATTGAATTGAATGTAATCTTAAAATTTGTAAAAACTAATTAACATTTTTGTTTGGTATATCAAAATATCAAAGTGTTTTCAACAAAATTTTTGTATCTTTCAATTGTTACCATCAAATTTTTTTTAAGGTCAAATCACTTTCTCTTGGTATATTTTGGTTGTTCAATGGAACTAACAATTTTGGTACTTTGCTTAAATTATTGAAATGAACTCAAGGGACACATACTAAAATTTTGCATCATATAACACCCTAATTCCAAGTATTCGAGTATCATATGGAATAACAAAGTGACTAGTATTTTTTTGAAACTATATCCAACTTTTACAATATTTACAAAATATGAAAATATAACAATTTGATAAAACATAACTCCTTGTTTGAAATCAAATACATAAGCACATAAATAAGATATTACAACTTGACAACCTTTATAAACATCATAACCTCTAAACTCCCTTTAAGATATCATTGTTGTACTCTAGTATTCTGCTAAAACTCTTATGAAGATATTGTTATCATTCTATCACGGTTCCTAAAATTTATAACCTACATACGAAAATAATTAAAAGTTGAATTGAAAAAGCTCAGTGATACACATCTAATATACTATTTTTGTTTATGTTTGTAAACATAAGCATACATGTCAAATATAAACATAAAAACGTCAAACATAATATAGATCTTCCCTAATTAATCGTCAAGGCTCAAGTATTTTCCCTAGTCTAGGAAGTATCATAATCCATATCATTTTCATTTTATGAATATCATAATTATTAACGTTTGTTCGTACTCTATTCAAGAGTGTTATCATCTATCTATTAATTCAAGACTTTATGTTTTATACTCATAATCATTTAGTTAATAATAAGCTATTTAGTGTCACTTAACGTAAGATAATAGTCATTTATAGTATCTGATATTATATAGCATCAAGTATTAACATAAAAAATGATACATGATATCGTAATGATTATACATAAATACATTAGGCGTTTTTCCTGATATATCACCCTTTCATTTTATTTTTCCCTGTCAGACACTGTTCAGACTATATTTCCCGATTTAACACCCTTTGCAATAAGGCGCACCCCTGCAGAGCGCTTTACGCTGATCTGGCGTCACGTGGGGTAAGGCGCCCCCTAAAGGGCGCCTTATGCTTACATGAAATATACGTGTGTAAAGCGCGGCCCTGGGCGCGCCTTACGCCACGTAGGGTATGGCGCTGGGTAGGAGTCGCGCCTTACCTTTAAATCTGACACAATTATGTAAGGCGCGGCCAGGGGCCGTGCCTTAGCTTTACTGATACAATTATGTAAGGCGCGGTGCATGTATTGCGCCTTGTATAATTATAGTAATTTTTCTCGGCTCGTAAACTTCCTCACATCTTCCTCTCAACCTATAAATTATATAGCAATTCTCTCAACGAGTAAATAATTTCGGCAATATTCTCATATTGATTCAAAAATTCGTGCGATTATTCGTTATAAGGTAATTTTGTTATAAATTTTTTTATTATACTTATTGTTTATTATGATTATTTGAAAAAATATTATACTAATTTTTTTCAATTAATTTTTGTGTTTGTAAAATTAGAAAGCGGGAGTATACGTCGAAATATTTTTACGGTACATGTAATAATATAAATTATATTATTTAAATTATTTACATTTATGTGTAAAAATTTTATTGTGTTATATTTTCGTTCATATATTATTTATTTAATCAGGTTTGTTTCAGTTGTTTCATTGCAGATATAATATTGTCTCACTTTTAAACCCTAAGAATGGCGCGACTTTCAGCTATTGTTTATTATGATGGAGAAATTTGAGAAGATGAACCGTCGTTGTTTTCGTATCAAATGAGCGTGTTAAAATATCATTCAAGAGAATATACTCTTGAGGAGCTGATAACGAAGATTTCAAGGAAGGTTCATGTTGGAAGTAGTAGAAGAATGTCGTCGTTGCAGTACATATTTCCAACATCATTGTTGTCATTAACTTATACAGCATTCGAACTATCGAACAATGATGATGCTGAAATTATGGCTGATTCTCAAAGTAATTATTCAGACGCCGATATTGAGATGTATGCAAAGTTTGTTCAAGTACGTGATGGGCTAGCTGAACAAGTTGATCAAGTTAACAGCCCGACTACAGTATATGTTATGATTTTAATGCCATAATGGGAAATCCACATCATGGTGTCGTCACATCAACTTCAATGGGGAGACATTCATCCGCAACTCCTTACGATATGTTCCGAGGTGGGTCCACAAACAATCTGTATGGCAACATCGTGTCCAGTTCAAGGGGAAGGAATTCATCTGCAAATTTCTTTGAACTTAATATGGATGTCATCGACACAACAATCTGTGCAGTTTCCATTTGAACGTCTCTGTCGACGTCGCTGAAAGGTCTGCCCTCGTGCATCCTCAGAAAGCATAAATGGTTTCCCGTTACTGTTGAACCACTCATAATAATGTCAGCAACCGTCAAGAGGTCATAAAAAATGGGCTCTCTACGGGGAAGGCATCGATGTCGATCCTCCCACAACACGACCCACTCATGATGCTTCACCAGCCAATCTGTATCTGACTTGCCGCTTCTATATGTGCTATGTAACTCATCCATATTGCGAGGTGCTTCTGGAATTGGTTGAAAATAACCAAATTTCTGGAGCATGCGATCAGTGGAGTGCCACTTGACGATCGCATAATAGATCAAAGGGATCTTTGCCATCCAAACATCTGATGGGCCCCTCAACTCAGGTGGGATCACCATCCTCACATCATCATTAGAATATGGAACCCATTCAAACTAAAACAAATATATATAATTTTTATCAAAATAATAATCTAATTATATAACTATAATCTAAAATCGATTTTTAAACATTAAAATGCATACCTGTGTGTCATTCTTCTGATCGATTAGCACCCTAATTTTTTCTAAATCATCATGTAGCTCCTGATGATTTTTCCTATCAGTAGACCACATATTCAAGGAAAAAAATTATTATACCCTGTATAAAATGATTAATATACAAAATCAGTTTTATAATTACCTCAATAGTAGCGAAAATAAGAATGGGTTCTTGACAACGGGACATAAAAAGGGAAATCGATACCATGCCCAAGACTGCAGCAGTAGGAGACATCCACCGATAGCATTTTTCCTATAGTCAGTCGCTCGACACATCTACCTGTACAAGAAAGTCAAAACTACCGAGCCCCAACTGAGTGATCCGACCAGACGAAAGTCGCTAAGATGTCGCAACCACATACAGTAAACTTGGTTGAGCGATTTGTCCGGCATCAGCAACCCTCCTATCAGTTGTAGTATGCATGCCCGTGCATACATTTTGACTTCATCATCAGAGGCGTCCTCCCTCAACTCCCGAAAATTGGCATCTAACCAATTTAACGGTATCCGACCACCGTTAAAACTTTCTAGGACATGTCCTAGATATTCCCGGCACAAAG